TACAGTACTCCAAATGAGGTCTCACCAGTGCCTTGTATAACGGAAGCAGCACCTCCTTATCCCTACTAGAAATACCGCGCCTAAGGCATCCCAAGACCGCATTAGCTTTTTTCACGGCCACGTCACATTGCCGACTCATAGTCATCCTGCGATCAACCAGGACTCCGAGGTCCTTCTCCTCTTCCGTTACTTCCAACTGATGCGTCCCCAGCTTATAACTAAAATTCTTGTTAGTCATCCCTAAATGCATAACCTTACACTTCTCACTATGAAATTTCATCCTATTACTATTACTCCAGTTTACAAGGTCATCCAAATCTCCCGGCAGGATATCCCGATCCTTCTCCGAATTGGCAATACCTCCCAACTTTGTGTCATCCGCAAACTTTATCAGCCCACTCCTACATTTGGTTCCGAGGTCAGTAATGAATAGATTAAATAAAATAAAATTGGACCCAAAACCGAACCTTGAGGAACTCCACTGGTAACCTCCCTCCAACTTGACAGTTCACCTTTCAGTACGACCCGCTGCAGTCTCCCCTTTAACCAGTTCTTTATCCACCTCTGGATTTTCATATTGATCCCCATCTTTTCCAATTTAACCAATAATTCCTCATGTGGTACCGTATCAAACGCTTTACTGAAATTGAGATATATTAGATCCACTGCATTTCCTTTATCTAAAAAATCTGTTACTTTCTCAAAGAAGGAGATCAGGTTGGTTTGGCACCATCTACCTTTCGTAAAACCCCAGAATTACATCTAAGGGATCATAAGGATCCCTGATTCACATATTTTTCTTCTTCTATATAATAAAGTTAGCATTCTGACTAATTTAGAAGCTGTATTTCTGTAATCCTGTATTCATTTAGACTAAGGTTACGTTGTTTAACTGACAGTATAACTCTTTGCACTTCTATAGTGCCTTTCATTTTACGAGCACAAAATGCTTTATGACTATAGTAAAAGCTGTTTTATCTGGCATGTTGGGGGGATGGGGGTGCCAGTTAACTAAGAGGGAGGGAATTTGGGTGTGGGAGGGGGTGCGGAGCTGGGGCACAGGAGGGGATGCAGGCTCTGGGAGGGAGTCTGGAAGCGGGAGGGGGCTCTGGACAGGGGGTTGGGACACAGGAGGGGACTCGGGATGCCGGAACCGGGGTGCGCTCACCTCAGGCGGCTTCACGCAAGTGGCAACCTGTCCTGGCTGCTCCTAGGTGGAGGAACGGCCATGGAGGCTCTGCACGCTGCTCCCGCCCCACCCCGAGCACTGGCTCTGCAGCTCCCATTGGCCGGGAATGACAGCCAATGGGAGCTGCAGGCAGGGCTGGCTTTAGGACTTGTGGGGCCCAATTCAAATACCCAGCGGTCCGCTCCAGGTCTTCTGCGGCACTGAAGGACCCCCCCACCGCCGAAATGCCGCCGAAGACCCGGAGTGGACCCCCCCACCACTGAAGTGCTGCCGAAGACCTGGAGCAGACCCCCCGCCGCTGGGTGAGTAAAAAAATTTTAAAATTTAAAAAGGCGCCTACTGTGCGGGGCCCTCTTAGGTGCGGGCACGGGGCCTTCTTAGCGCGGGGCCCGATTCCGGGGAATCGGTGGAATCGGCCGAAAGCCGGCCCTGGCTGCAGGGGCAGCGCCTGGGCGGAGGCAGCGCACAGAGCCGCCTGCTGCACCTCAGCCTAGGAGCAGCCAGGACAGGTCGCCGCTTGCAGGGAGCCATGCGGAGCCAGGTAGGGAGCCTGTCGGCCCTGCACCAACCGGACTATACACTGGCCTTTCTATGAAGATTAGAAATGCTGGTTTAGAGAGCTTTCCAGTTGGTACAGAGCCGAATAACACAGCTTTTACTGTACTCATTAATTAAACCCTCATCATACCATTGTGAGAGAGGGAACTATCATTTCCCTAACTTTACAGACGGGAAACCAAGGCACGGAAAAGCTAAGTGCCTTGCCTCAGATCAGACAGGATGTCTGCGGCAGAGCTGATTATCAGTCATTCTCCTGACTCCCATCATGTGCTTTACTATTACTTCCTCACTCAAAATCCAGCTAAAAGGACTTGTTTTTAGCCCATATTATGTAAGAATATCAGCCAAAGTGATAAGTAACTCTCATTTGCTCCGTTTTTAAGTCCATGAATAATAGGTACTGAACTTTGCAAAGTTCTTTGAAATCTTCAGATGAAAATCTCTATCTAGGAGTCTGAAGCAAAGCCCATTTAGATCAATGAAAATATTTCTGTTGACTTCAATGGCCTTTGGATCACACACTCAGTGCAGGCCATTATTAGTGTGATTATGTGTGCATAGTGCTCTATTACATTATACTATACAATAATGCCTGATAATACAATGCCTATGTTGTACCTATGCAAATAAAAACATGCATATTTCAATCTATGAAACAAAACACAAAACCAATCCCCTCCACACCATTTTTACAAACCAAGTCTTGTATACAGTACATGGTATACTCTACTTACAGCATTCAGCCGTGTTAGTCTGTATCAGCAAAAACAACAAGGAGTCCTTGTGGCACCTTAGAGACTAAAATTTATTTGGGCATAAGCTTTCATGGGTTTACAACCCCCCATCTTTTCATGTACTATGTATATACATCTTCCTACTGAATTTTCCACTCCATGCATCTGATGAAGTGGGTTTTAGCCCACAAAAGCTTATGCCCAAATAAATGTGTTAGTCTCTAAGGTGCCACAAGTACTCCTCATTGTTTCTACTTACAGTAGAACCTCAGAATTACAAACACCTCGGGAATGGAGGTTGTTCGTAACTCTGAACAAAATGTTATGGTTGTTCTTTCAAAAGTTTACAACTGAACATTGACGTAATACAGCTTTGAAACTTCACTATGCAGAAGAAAAAATGCTGCTTTTACCCATCTTAATTTATATGAAACAAGCACAGATAGTTTCCTTACTTTGTCTTTTTCTTTAAACTCCTCCCCCCCTTTTTAAGCAGTTCACATTTAACACGAGACTGTACCGTATTTGCATGTGTGTGTGTGTGTGCATGCATGTCGGCTGCTGCTTGATTGCGTCCTTTCCAAATGAGGTGTGTGCTTGACTGGCCAGTTCGTAACTCTAGTGTTTGCAATTCTGAGGTTCTTCTGTATTTCATTTTTGTCTGAATTCCCCATGCTCTTCTGCATTTTCTTGGGTTCCCAGCAGAGGGCACCGCAGAGTTTTTGATCAATTCAGAAAACCTCCAAAGGGAAAACTTTTTTGTTTCATACCGATTCACAATGTAAACAATCCAAGCAATTACAGGCCAGCATTTTGTAAGCATGAAAATCATGCTCATCAATTTGAAAAGACATCATTAAAGGGAAAATGAGATAGCATGAAGTTTAGTTTTGATTCAGTAATTCATCCGAGCAAAGAGAAGCTGGCACAGCAGAGCTGTGAAATGCCATCTCCTTTCTACTTCAGTCTGATTAGAAATGTAATCCGGCACAAACGGCAAACCAGCTGATGCAATCACATTCCAGATTTGGACTGCACCAGGTGGAAGGGGGCATTTGTTGATATCCTTGATGATGAAGTTTACTTTTGGATGGGATAACTTCTAGGGCAGTGGGTCTCGAACTTTTTTACTGGTGACCCCTTTCACATACCAAGTCTCTAAGTGTGACCCCTCTTATAAATTAAAAACACTTTTTTATATGTTTAACACCATTATAAATGCTGGAGGCAAAAGCGGGATTTGGGGTGGAGGCTGACAGCTCATGACCCATGTAATAACCTCGTGACCCCCTGAGGGGTCCCGACCCCCAGTTTGAGAACC